TTTGTAGGTCTGCTTCCATGGGGAGCATGCAACTGCCATGTCCCTGTGAAGCACCTTTGCCTTGGCCTCTTTGGGCAACAGTATATGTATTTCAAGAAGCAAAGGAAAGCAAGTGGAAGAAAAGGTTTTAAAATGTAAGAACAGGGGAAAAGCAAATGTTCACTTTTTGTAGCATCTTGTTTTCTGGATTTGGATGTTTAAGACTGATTCCGAAGGAGGATTTCATCACAAGCAAATTGCTCCACATTAATTTTTCCAAGTTTGCTGTTTTCCAGAATTTGCTTTTTGTTTTGCTTTTTTGGTGGCAGTGGAATACACTTCAAAAAACTGACATGATGTCTCCATGTATTTTACCATCTCACACAATTACATGAAAAGGAAAGATTTCAGAAGAACTGGATAATGCCAAGATGGAGGGTGTAATTCCTGGTTTGTGATGTCCATGGAACAAAAAATTTTGAGTACTGGCAATCCTGTTACCCAGTTCATATGAACGAAAAGCCATGATTGTGCTGGAGAATTGATGAACATAGATTCCTCCAAATCTAATTACTTGTGCAAAGTGATTTTGAGCTATTGACCTTAATGATAGGGATGACTCCATGGCAGTGCATGCAAGACTTTCATGTGTAGCATTCTGTTTTTCAGACATGGCTGAATGTTACAAATGTCCCGATGACCACTATCCAAGCAAGCACCAGGACTCTTGCATTCCCAAAGAAATCAGCTTTCTCATGTTTGAAGAACCAGTGGGGTGCAGTTTGACTAGTCTATCTCTGTCCTTTTCATTGATCACAGCTTTGGTGCTATGGATCTTTGTCAGGCACAGGGACACTCCCATTGTCAAGGCCAACAACAGGAACCTCACCTTCACTCTCCTTGTTGCACTCCTGCTCTCCTTTTTTTGTGGTTTGCTCTTCATTGGCCAACCTGGAAAAGTGACCTGTCTCCTTCGACAAACTGCTTTCGGTATGATCTTCTCAGTGGCTATTTCTTGTGTGTTGTCCAAAACCATCACTGTGGTCCTCGCTTTCATGGCTACCAAGCCAGGATCCAGAATGAGGAGATGGGTGGGGAAATGGCTGGCTAATTCTGTTGTTCTTTCCAGTTCCCTGATGCAAGCCGTGATATGCATGATTTGGCTGGCTACCTCTCCTCCCTTTCCAGATTTTGACCTGCATTCAATGACTGAAGAAATAATCATGGAATGCAATGAAGGTTCAGCGGTCATGTTCTACTGTGTCCTGGGCTTTATGGGCTTCCTGGCCATTGTCAGCTTCACAGTGGCTTTCCTAGCAAGGAAGTTGCCTGACAGCTTCAATGAGGCCAAGTTTATCACATTCAGCATGCTGACCTTTTGCAGCGTCTGGCTGACCTTTGTTCCCACCTACCTGAGCACGAAAGGAAAGTACATGGTGGCCGTGGAGATCTTCTCCATTTTGGCCTCCAGCACTGGGTTGCTCGGGTGCATTTTCCCTCCCAAATGCTACATCATTGTCATGCGGCCTGACTTGAATAGCAGGCACCAACTCATGAGAAAACTTAACTAATGATACTAACAGAGGCCCCATGGCTCAAAAGCCCAAGACAGCTAAACAATGGGCCATAAGAAACATGATATTGTGTATAACGAAAGTGACAAATGAACATACCTTACACATATACATGTACTATCGGTAGATCATTCTAAACATAGAAACCTTAACTTCAAACAAACGTGTAGTCAAAACGTACATGAATGTTCTAAAACACGTATCATGGGTAATGCAAAGCTTAGGAGCACAAGACCTAGGGACATGCCTCTTCCAGCAGCAACCGACCTCGACTCCACACTCAATTTTTCTGACTTTCCAGCGAATCCAAACTCAGAGGGAAGGGCCAAATGTGGCACCGATGAGGAGCTCTTCTTCAGTGGCTGACATCCATTTATGGAATATGCTCCCCACTGCAGCCTGACTGGTGCTCCATTTTTCATCTTTTCAGCACTAGGTTGTGATAGCCCACTTTTCTGAGGGTTTTAAAGACATATCCGGCACCCAAGGTGGGGGGAAGGGAATCAACAAGTGTTTTGTAGGTTGACTCTTTCTATTCCTTATTGTTGTTTTTTGTAATCTCATTTTCATTGTCTAAACTCTTCAATTTTTCTGATTTCCTGGTATTTTCATTGTACTTTGAGCATCTCTTTTTGGGGGGCTGGGGGCTGTGTAAACTGCCCAAAGAGTTTCAGCTGTGTGGAAGAATACAATTTACGCATACAAGTATTAACCGTTCCTTTGTTCTGATTCTGAGTGCACTAGGGAAGCTATGTTCCCTCTTTCTCATGTCTCAGATATGGAGAGTTTTTGAGGGAAATCAGTCTCTGTATTATCTGGCTTTAGCAGATTTGGTGGGGAACCAAATGTTCTCTCTTTCTGAGTGACCAAATATTGGAAAAAGGGGGGGGGGTAAGAATGTTGACATTTCAATGACAATTAGCCCTTCCTTCAATACATTGAAGCTTTTCAGTTTGGAGAAATCTGCTGAATGCTGATCGTCACACAGGAACTTCTCAATCTGCCTTATATTCCACTTTTATACATGAGGTGGTTAACATGCGATCCTCATTCCCTACAAAAGATTGTGTATGTGCTCTTTACTAAATGTTACCAAAAAGTCACCCATCCAATCATAGGCTTTATTGTTCGCTTGTTAATGACTTTGTATGCACAGCTGGTTCTTTTGCACACATGTCTTTGTCCAGGGTTTGTAACAGGCCCTGACCCTAAGGCTGAACTGGCTCTTTCCTTTATTGCAAAGGAACAGTAGGTGGCTTTTCCTATCCCATGGGAGAAGCAGATGTGTGGAGTCCCAAAGTTCTGCCCTTTTGGTACTGCCTCAAGACCTGGGAGATGGTCCATGTGGCATTTGCCATGCAGCTGGTCTTTTTTTAATAAGTCTTATTTGAAATTATAATTCTAAAAAAACAAAGAAAAACTAAAAAAAAAAATCAATCATCAAAAATATCAGGTCTTCTGGGTTAGCCCCCACACCTTTCTTTTTCCTTTTATGATAAATTAAAAAATATTTGAATCTATGCAAAGTCCCATTTCTCTAGCCAATAATACAGAGACCCATGTTTGATAGAAGTTGGAATCTTCCTTCTCCTTCAACGATAAAATCAGTCTATCCATTTCTGCACAGTCCAGGATCTTTTTTAGAATCAGTTAGTCAGTGGCCATGCAACCAGTCTTGATGTTCATTAATCACACAAGTCACAACCAGACAGTGTGCTGTAAGCATGCACAAGTACATTGGGCTTCACTGGTTTCATCAATTCTTTTGTTATTGCACATGATTTCTTCTTCAGTGAGGAAGGCCCCCGGAATCTTCCCACATTGTTTCCCATTTTGGCTGGTAGCCTTACAACTTGCCTCTCTGTACAAAGTAAAATGGGCTTGTTTGCAAACCTCCAAGTATATTCAAACAGTATTTTAATAATGTTTAATATTTATAGATTTTTATTGTGCAGGCAGCAGTGTGTTTCCAGGTTTTAATTGTAATTGTAATTGTTTTATTTATTAATTTCTGTGAGCCGTCCCGAGGCTATGTAGCAAGGGGATGGCATATAAAAATTTTAAATAAATAAATAAACAAACAAATTACTGCAATGATCTCCGTGCAGTTTAACCTCTGAAGATGGATCAGAAGCTGCAGTTTTGCAAACTGCAGCATCCAGGTTAAAGTGCACCTGAACTGCACTTTTACACTTTTCTCTTGTGAACTGCAGTAGGATCATCCCTGGAGAGATCCACAGACTACTTCTTCTTTCTTTAGATCCCTTTTGCAATTGGGGGAATCATGCAAAAATAGCAGTTGCTACTACGGTTGGTGGGTTCCTTCCACACCATTGGGACGGCAAAAGGCATGGACTTTTTCTTCTTGTTTAGCCAATGAAGCAGCTTGCAACAATAATGAGGTCCCCAATTCTTCTCCCAATCCCCTATTTTGCTTCCAAAATATAGGTGGTATGCCTTTTCTACCTCTGCCATCATTCTGTACTTTTGAGATGCAAAGGCAACCTGGGCACAAATGTAGCAGAATTTATCTGTGTTGTGTATATACAGTTTCAACACATCTTGGCTTCCGAAGGAAAATCTCATGCAATTGTTCCTTGGAAATGTTAGGTGATGATACTCGCACAAGCCACCAGATGTAACTGTATGATGTGCAGATGCCTTATATTGCACTTTTCTAAATGAAGCATTTAACAAGTGATCCTCATACTGTACTCAAAGTTATTTAAGTGTTCTTTACTGAAACTTTTCATTCTCCAGCTTCACTTCTGTACCTAGCAGGATCTTTGGTGAGGCTTTACAAAGTAAAGAAAGTGCAGCATTTGATTATGAGAGCAACAACAAAAGCACAACACCCTCCTTTAGAAGCAATCCATTCTGCACCCCTCTACTGTAGAAAGAAGTCAAAAACAATTTCTAATAACAAATTGGAATGAGATGCCATCAAGTGAAAAGACACACTTCATTGCCCAAAACATGTCAATGCAGAATTGGGAAATGGGAGTTGAATATATGGGGTTTGTGCGTTTTTAGAAGTGCAAATTTGCAGAGGTCTCAAATTATGCAATTCCATACTAACACATGGATTCTTGCAAAATCTGGTTCTGTCAATTATGGGGTGACTGCATTTAAAAGATAGCACTGCATTTAAAAGATAAACATTTTAATTCCAAGAAGGTTACTAATTCAACTGTAATTATCAGGTTGGTGATCATTACTCCTAGTTCTCCTGCAAGTAGCAGGGGAGTTGACTTGTCCCTTGCAAAACAATGAAGCAGCATTGTAGGAGGCTATAAAGAAACTTGCAGCCATCACAGGAAGGGCTAAAGACTGGAAGTGAATGTGGGGCCGGTTGCTTTCCATCACGCTATGCAGTCCTGCCTCTGGCTAAGCTGTCTGAGTGCTCCATAGAGACAAGCTGCGCTGCTCAGGGATCCCCAAAAGACAATGACAGGCCGGGTTAAGTGTCGTCTGAAGGGCCACTGTGCCAACAGTGCAGTGCTGCTGCTGCTCTTTGAATTCCTGCTGCAGCTGCAGACCATGTACTATGCCCGAGTCACCAGCTGTATGGTTAGCAACCCTCTTGCCATAAATCACCAGTATTATCAGTCTGGAGACCTCATCATTGCTGGCATCCTCTCTCAGTTCTATATGTTTTTCAGCCCCATCACCTTCAGATCGAACCCCTCTCTGAGAATCCCTGAAGACCTCATGTAAGTGTAAGGAATACATGATTCTCCAAAGGGGTGGCTTGGTGAGTCTGTTGCAGCCAAAACCAATAAGAAGATTGCGGCACCCTATGGACTAACACCTATATTATGGGAACATTGTTTGCAAAAGAGAAGCTATGTGTTCTGCTGTAAACTATGTTTCAGTAATGCTTTCGCTCTAAGTGAACTATAATTATTAACACATTCAGTTCTAGACCATTGGTTGCCTAACCATGTTCTACAGAGCCTGATCACTTTAGATCATTTCCCCATGCAGGCTGATACATTAGGCTTTTATATCAGTACTCATATTTTGAACTGTACTATTTTATTTCAATGTATTTTATCATGTTGTAAGCTGCCCCGAGGTTTCGGCAAGGGGCGGCATAGAAATGTTATAATAATAATAATAATAACTGGGAGACCTACTTCAGAGGCTTGTTCCCTAAAGCTGACTGAAATCATACTCAAATCAGGATTCGACATTAAAATCTCACTCTCCTTCACTGTTTGTGGGAATAGATTTGTACCCAGATTCAAAACTGCCTCTGGGAAGGGTTGTGTCCAAACGCTTGCATATTTCCCCCAACAGGGTGCAAATAGTTACCATGAATTTCAGGTTTCACTAGTTCAGCTAACTTCAGACTAAATCTTTCCTGCATCAATGTGTAATTAGGATAACATTGGTTTCATCAGCCCAGAATGACCACAGAAATGTTTTTTTCCCAGTGGCTTTCATTTACATTTGTTTGTTTGTTTCTTCTACTCCTGCTACCCAGCACAGACTTACATGATCTGTAGAGCTCTGCATTTCCCAACCCACAAATATCTATATTATTTGGAGTAACAAAAGAGCCAGACTCCTATTTTATTGCACTTTATGGTACTGTACTGCATTGTATATTTTCTGTTCTGTTTTGTTTTAGTAAAATCAAAAAGCTAGGGGTCTGAAATTCAGCCTGACAGACTGCCATGTATTTGAAAATGCCACAAAGGACTAGATTACCTGTCTATATACATGTACATTACACAACAAGCAAGAGCCCTGAGTGTGACAGGAACACCAGGAGTCTGCATGGAATGAAGTAGACAGCCTTCTCTTCATACTAAATAATGTCCACTGAAATACCAAAAAGTGTCCAATTATATTTAACAAACCTGTTCCTATCTGCTCAGTAACAATACCCCTGTGAGTGTATCCTTATAAATTTGAAAGAGCATAAAAAGGAAAATGCATCAAACAATCAAGCATATTTTGAAGATGCCTCCAGGTAATGGGGGTGACAGAAGCATCAACAATCCAGGGATATTATTCTAAGAACCTTTCATTACAATTTCCCTATCCAGGACCTTGAAATCATTGTAAAAACTTGTTGAACAGAAATGTGAAAAAGCCCCAGTCCTGTCCTGAGGCTCTCTGAGGCAGCATCTCATTTCTATGGCAGGTTTGTGACTCATGGCTACCAACACCTCCTAGCCCTGGTGTTTGCTGTAAAGGAGAGCAATGAAAACCTCCAGACCCTCTCAAACCTCACACTGGGCTTCCACATCTACAACAGTAATTTTCTGGCAACCTGGACCTTTCGTGCCGCAATGGACCTTCTTTCCACGTGGGGCAGATTTCTGCCAAACTACAAATGTGATTCCCAGGATAACGTGGTAGCTGTCATTGGGGGACCCACCTCAGATGTGTGCTTCTTCACTGCCACCATGCTGGATATCTACAAGATGCCACAGGTAGGGTATGTAGATGGAGGGTAGGGTGATAATACAATAGTAATATTTTCTGTAGCTTTTTCATGAGGTCCTGTGCTTTGGAGGTAGAGAGCATTCCACTACATTTCTTCCATTTTCCTGAGACAGAAAAAAAAATTTCTTAGCTCCACAAGCAGTTCTGTCTTCAGAATAGTTTTCTTTTCCCTTTGTATGTGTAGCTTGGGTTTGGCTCTGTTCCAGTAAGGACTGATGAAAGCCAAGGAGCTTTGTTCCAGGGGATGTTCCCGGCTGGGGACCACCAGTATCTGGGCATTCTTCAATTGCTGCTGGCTTTCAGATGGACATGGATTGGTGTGATTATTGTACAGGATCAGAATGGACAGAGGTTTGTGCAGAAGGTACTCCCCAAATTCTCCCAGAGAGGCATCTGCTTTGACTTCATAGCAACCTTGCCAAAACTCTATTTTACCAAGGACATTGTTGACATGGTGGCAGAGTGGATTGAAACATATAAGGACATTATGAGTAGCACTGCCAATGTTGTAGTTATCAATGGGGAAAGTCACACCATGATATATTTGAGAATGTTTCCCCAATTTTCAGAAGTTGAGAACACACAAATTAAGTCCAAAGGGAAAGTATGGATCATGACAGCACAAATGGAGTCTAGTTCCATTCCTTTTCAAAGATTCTGGGACATAGACATCCTGCATGGTGCTCTGTCCATTGCCATCCACTCAAAAGAAGTGCCTGGATTCCAGCATTTCCTTCAGATGAGGAATCCCACCTCAGACAAAGAAGATGGCTTTATCAGGGAGTTCTGGCAACAGGCATTTAGCTGCATGTTCCTAAAGGAGATGATTAAAAAGCCGGATGATGAAATCTGCAGTGGGAAGGAGAAGCTAGAGAGCCTCCCTGGGTCTGTATTTGAACTGGCTATGACCAGCCACAGCTACAGTGTCTACAATGCTGTCCATGCTGTGGCACATTCTTTGCGATCCTTGCATTCGCTGACATCCAAACGCAGGGCAAGGGTACATGGAACAAGATGGGAGCATCCAGCGCATCAGACCTGGCAGGTAAGGTGCGGTGCGCACAAAGGCCGGAAAGCTCTTCCAAGTCCTTTCTCAGTGTGCCGAGCTTGGTAATCAATTCATTTTGCAATTGCTATATAGTAGCCTTGTTATACTTCCACTGCTGAGAAAAGCTTCTGATGGCGCAGCTACAGCTATTGACTAGATATCACAGAGACCATTCTGAACCCACTTTACATTCCTGGAGAATTCTGGGAAAACTGGGGTGAGGGATCACTGCATGGGCTTCTAATCAGCACCAGCAGTGAACCCCACCTTACCTTGCTACTCTCACACCACATCGGCCTAGGGTCTTATGATTTTTGTTTTGAGGGCCTATGTTCTCATGCAAAGTGGGAAGCACTTACCCATTCAGGCCTGATGCTGCTTCTCGTGATCTTGCATACATAGATATAATGGATTTGATTTATTTTTACATGCTTCATTGTTAATATTCCTTGTCACAGTTGAGTGGCATGTATCAGCTTGTGGTGCTTCTGGCATGTTTCCATGCTGAAGTGCATAAAGCTGCTTTAATCCCTTAAATTTCCCTTTAAGATTGCATTTTGCAAAGGAGGAATTACAGCTGCACTGCAATAAATAAGCAATCAATACAATACAAAAAGGAAAAAGAAACAAAAGAGAGAAAACCTAAGGCGTTTGGGGTTGTGGAACCTCAAGAATAGCCTACACGAGGGTTTCAATGGGTTGCTAAACTGAGTGCATCGAAGCTCATCACCTTTACATATACTTGCAGCACTTTCCAAATCTACATCACTGCCCTTTCTACCATTATTCTTCATGACAGCTTCACCAATATCTGCAAAGTGCAACATTTAACAATGGTGCTGGTGAGGATGTTTCCTTGGACCGAAATGGCCATCTGCTGGCTGGATTTGATATTCTTAACTGGATCACTTTCCCAAACCTGTCATTTCTTAGACTCAGAGTTGGAAAAATTGACCCAAATGCTCCTGAAGATAAGATGCTCAGCATTACTGTGGATGCCATGGTCTGGCCCAGAACCTTTAATGGGGTACGGTCAGTACAGAGTTCAAGGTTCATCTCATCTGCTGCTGCTCTTTCAAGAAGATGATTTTTCAGGTGCCACAGTAGAACTACTCCTGTGCACTGCCATTTAGTGAGGCCCATGATTGAGATATCCCTGAGTGTCTCCTGGCAAAAACCCATAACCCACTTTTACTGAATATTGCCCAGTAAGGCCGTGATTCTACACAAATTCCACTGAGCTCAGGGTCATTTCCTTTTTATTGATCATGTTCTTGAAACTCTAATTCTTTAAGTAAACAAAGGGCAGCATGTTTCATCATGTTGAAATACATCTTTTTGGAAATACTGTTGGGAAGGATCCCAAGGAGACAGACGCCAGGCATGTATTATGGGTTGTACGTGGAAATGGTTGCTTCTCTCTTATTGCATTGTATTTTTTCATGTTCTCACAATCTTCCAATATCAGCCACTGCCTATTCAGACCGTGCATACCACCTCTTCTGAAAACATGACACGATCTCAATATGGCATGCATAGCTAATGGAAACCTTCCTCTGCACATGCTAATTAGGAGAATTGGGTCTTACTATTATGGACCCAGTACTTATCTGTAGAATAAGCACTGGGATATAAATTCCAGAAATCTATTTTATAAATGTTAAAGCATTGAACATTCTCATTTGCAAACAGGTTCAGCCAGTCTCTCTTTGTAGCCAAGCCTGCCAGTTGGGTTACAGAAAGAGAAAGAAGGAAGGGGAGCCATTTTGTTGCTACGACTGCTTTCCATGTCCCCAAGGGAAGATTTCAAGCCAGATGGGTAGGAAGTGTCGCATACTTCACAAGCATGCTTTTTCATATGATTTCTCTCTTTGGCATGCTTCTTTAAAGATACCTTTTTATTTCCTGTATGAGAAGAAACTGTTGATAGTCAAGTGGTCCTTGCTGATTATGTAGAAATCATCTATATTCATATGAACAAGAGTGACTGAATGAACAGAGAAGCTTTCCGTACGTCCAGACAAGATGAATTTGGAGTTTATGGAAACTACCTTTTTGTTATCTCTGTGGGAGAAGCTGAGTTTAAGAATGTAGAGAAAAGCCATGCTGGGTCAAACCTAATGTCCACCTACTCCAGCACTGCGTACACACCGGATCCCACACTAGATCCAACTAACCACAGGAGCCGTCAAGCAGGATGGGTGGAAGACGTCCTCCTGCCCAAGCTGCTCAGTGACTGGTGTATGCAGGCATACCACCTCTGGTAATGAAGGTATCCCAAAGCCAGCAAGGTTCGTTAAGTGCAAAGAGAATAGCCTGGGAATGGTGGCAACTTGATTTGAACTTCCTGTCCATATTGAGGGTGTTATCGATAAGCATAAAGCACTGTTTGGTGAATATCAGCATACACATGAACACATGTATACTTTCCTCTTTTTTCAGACATGAATGAGTGTTTTCAGTGTCCAGAAGATCAATATCCAAATGAGAATCAGGACTTCTGCATTCTCAGAAAAATAACCTTCTTGTCTTATGAAGAACCACTGGGAATCAGCTTGGCTTTCATTGCTCTGTCCTTTTCTGCGATCACAGCTTTGGTGCTTGGGGTCTTCATCAGACACAGGGACACTCCCATAGTCAAGGCCAACAACAGGAACCTCACCTTTACTCTCCTGGTCTCCCTCCTGTTCTCCTTCCTTTCTACTTTGCTCTTCATTGGCCAACCTCACAAGCTGACCTGTCTCTTTCGACAAACTGCTTTTGGCATCATCTTCTCAGTGGCTCTTGGTTGTGTGTTGGCCAAAACCATCACTGTGGTCCTTGCTTTCATGGCCACCAAGCCAGGATCCAGAATAAGAAGGTGGGTGGGGAAAAAGCTGAGTAATTCCATTGTTCTCTCCAGTTCCCTGATTCAAGCCTTGATTTGCACCATTTGGCTGGCTACCTCTCCTCCGTTTCCAGATTTTGACATGCATTTGATGACTGAAGAAATAATTCTGGAATGTAAGGAAAGTTCCACTCTCCTGTTCTATTGCGTGATGTCTTTTATGGGCTTTCTGGCCATGGTTAGCTTCACAGTGGCTTTCCTGGGCAGGAAATTACCTGATAGTTTCAATGAAGCCAAGTTTATCACACTCAGCATGCTGGTCTTCTGCAGCGTCTGGCTGACCTTTATTCCAACCTACCTGAGCACGAAAGGAAAGTCCATGGTGGCCGTGGAGATCTTCTCCATCTTGGCCTCTAGTGCTGGGTTGCTTGGGTGCATTTTCCCTCCCAAATGCTACATCATTATCATGCGGCCTGACTTGAATTTCAGGCACCACCTCATGAAAAAAACGAAATTAATGGCAGGCTAATAACTATACTACTATATGCAGATCATGCAGCTATTATTTCAAGGACTCCAATCAGGCTCACAAGAGCACTGGGGAAGCTGATGGAATATTGCAAGGAGGAAGATCCGAAATTAATTATCAAAAAAACAAAAACCATGACCTTTGCAAAAAGATGAAAAACTCAGTCATGGAAGATAAGTCAGCACAAGATTGAGCAGGTTTCCTAATTCAAATATTGAGATATAGTCCTATAAGCAAATGGATCCAGGAAGGCGCATAGTGAATATATGGCAATAAATGCCCAGAGAAGCACATCAGCCATAATACAATTCATGAGATCTAAAGGGGGCCATTAGATCCCCCTAGTCCTCCAACTATACCAAGCAAAAGTACTATCTCAACTACTGTATGGACCACAATTGGGGCCTTTCCCAAACACCCAAGTACTACAACTTGTTCAATCAAAATTTCTGAGGGAAATACTGGGTGTTCCTAGGGTTTTCTCCAATGCAAAGATGAGATTGGAGACTGGTCAGATCCAAAGTGAAGCTAGGATCTGGGGGTCCATTCTTGTGCACTGCCTCAGATTTGTATACTTTCCAGTTGGCCTTGCTCCACTAAATCTGCAAGACGTTTTCATATCCAACTGGATTAAATCAAGTACAAAATAGCTCTCTTGTGTCTTCTCCTGAGGACTTTAGTAAATATGGGCTTTGAACAGGCAGCAGAAACCATCAAGCAGAGCAGAGCAGACATTAAAAGACAAAGTGATCTCAATAAAGGCCTGAATTCTGTCTTAGGGAGGACTATGGACACATTGTAATAGCTGCACCCTATGTCAAACAATTAGAAATGCATGAACACAGAAGTGCTTTTACCTAGGCCCACCTTAATGGACTCCCCTCAGCAGTTTTGGAGGGATGGTATAAAGAGATCCCCTGCTCAGAGTGCCTTTGCCCCTGTGATATTGAACAGATAGAAACTACACAGCATGTCCTGTTGAAGTGCACATTCTACAGGGATATTTGCACTGCACTCATTTCCCTGCTGTGGAATGACTGCCTGGGCCATACGGAACAACAATATATCTATATATTGCTGTCAGACACTAACCCAACAATAACGTACAGTGTCACCAAATTCTTCACAGGTGCCATAGGTGTCTGAAGACAGATCCTGAGGGAGCATGGACTTACCTAGTTGGACAAGGACAAAGTCTGGGAATGTCACCAACTCAGGATGACAGATATTGTGTTGAAGTATTTATTAATCTGAGTGGGGTTTTAGGACAGACAACCTTTTATGTGTTTTCTTTTTAAAATCAATATATTTATTGAATGGAGCTGGTCTTTGACCACAATAAAGTTTGTCTGTCTGTCTGTCAATCTATCTATCACTACACTCCTCTCCCAAAGATAACCAACCTAGACACTACACTATACTCTGCAGCTTTCGCCCAAGCGCCCCTCCCCCCATCTTCAAAATAAGCTCCCCATTGACTGGTGCCAAATTTGTCATCTCTTCAGTGCCAGATTAAGATAGCCCACTTTGTGAGGTTTCAAAAGACTTCCTCAGCCACCCAGGGGCTTGAAGGGGATTATCAGGTGATCTGTCAATTCTTTTTTAAAATTATTATTCTTTGTTATTGCTGTTTTACTCTCTCTTTAGCTGTTTTATATTTTTATATATTTTTTTATTTCATGATTTTTATTGTACTTGGAGCATCAGGTTTTGTGGCTGTGTAACATGCCCAGAGAGTACTGGTTCTGTGGCAGAATTTAAGACATACATGAATAAACAACTGTTCTTTGTTCAGATTCTCTGAAGGCTTCCATTCCCCCCTCCCCTTTCTCATTTCTCAGTTCTGGAGATGGTTTGAGGGAAATCAGTCTGAAAGGATAATTCTGTATTATCTCACTTTACAGATTTGGTGGGAAAATTTTAAAAAATCTGCCTTTTGAAGTCTGATTTGGAAAATATTGGCAAAGTAGAAATGTTGGCTGTTCAATGTCAACTAACGTTTTCCTCAGTAAGTTTTTTTGTTTTGATAAATGTATTAAATGTTGTTCATTAGACAGAAACTACACAAGTTTATATTGCAGGTTTCTACATGAAGCATTTGACTTGCATTCCTCATTCCTTACTCAAGGTTATGTGTTCTTTACAAAAATGGTACCAAAAAGTCACCCATCCAACCATAGGCTATATTACCTGCTTGTTAATGACAGTATATGCACAGCTGGTTCTTCAGCACAAATGCCATTGCCCAGGGTTTGTAACAGGCCTTGACCCTAAGACTGAACTGGCTCTTTCCTTTATTGCAAAGGAACAGTAGGTGGCTTTTCTTATCCCATGGGAGAAGTGGATGTCTGGATTCCCAACATTCTGCCCTTGTGGTACTGCCTCAAGACCTGGGAGCTGGTCCATGTGGCACTTTCAATGCAACCAGTCTTAATGTTCATTAATCACACATGGCACAGCTACACATCTATCTGGATAAAGATAAACAGGCTTGTCTGCTAACCGCCAAATTATATTACTTCAATGAGCTCCATGCAGGATAACCTCTGAAGATGGTTCAGAAGCTGCTTGTTTGCAGCCCCCAGGTTAATAACAGGGAACAGACGTTTTGAGAGGAGAATGCTTGTATTTGCTGCAAAATGAATGAATGATGCACAAGTATTCTTTGCCACAGTCCTTTCCTTAATTCTCTTGTTAATGCTGTCCCAGTACAAAAGATAAGAGAAAACAAGAGAAATGTGAAAACTTGTTTTCTTCCATACTCTTACAAAGATCGCATCTGTAGTACTGCAAAGGTAATTATCTCCTCCACAATTATCACACTTCAGATTATGCATTCTGCTTCTTCTCTGTGTTCCAAGGGGGTTCTGGTTGCCACTAGCAAAACACAGAAGCAATATAGAAGGAAGGTACTGATAACCCTGTGCAAATCAGAGCAAGACGTACATAGAAAGAGAACTCCATCAATTGCATTAGTGATTAATTCCACTGCATGAACTCTGAATACATGGACTGAGCCAGGTTGGGCAGCTCAGGGTCACTGGAGTGACAATGAAGGAAACAGTGAACTGTGGGCTTGAAGGAAGACATCCATACAAGATGCTGGTCCTCGTGGTCTTGGTATTCATGCAACAACCTGAGATGGTGTGCCATGTTCA